TTTCTTTTTTGCCTCTGCTTCTATAAAGACCAATATTAAAGATCTCTCAACACTGGGAGGTAACAAAAGGCATCACTGGAAAAAAACAAAACGAGGATCATCATAGGAATTAATGCTAATGTTTCAGTAATGGCTTTCCTCAGAGCAAACCCTTGGTCTCCATAGAGCAAGGGTAGGTGCTGCTGCTGCTGAAGGCACTTCGTGGCTGCAGCAAACCCACTTGCTGACATTCCAGCTTGGATGCATAAAATCAAGATCAGACAGCTCTTTCCCAGCAGTGTGAGGCTGTTTGGAAAGTGCTTGGAGCCAAACCCAGGCCACAGTGCCTTTGTGAGCCTTGTAGGACGCTCACAGCTCCAAAGAGCAGGTTCTGCTCTGGCACTCATCGTTGCAGCAAGCAGATCTTGCACCACCACCATCACATGGCACTTTCTGATGATTTGCAAGGTGCTTTAGTTCCTCTGTTGAGAGTCCAAGAGACAGGTCTGGCAAGGTCTGGCATTTGGAAGAGAGAATTAAAACACTTGGCATAGCAGCGAGGATCTGCTCACACACAGGCCTTCATTCCACATCTGCATTAAAAGCTGAAGGGCAAAAAAGAATTGTCCCAGCTAAGAACACCTCATTTTAGGGAAAGCTGCAGAAGCCTCTTCAACTGTTCTTCCTCAAATAGTGGTCAAAGTAACAGGAATTGAAATAGAGAATAATATTCTTCCATTTGTGTTCAGTTGTGCAAGGTAGTTGTATAACTGCAGTAGCACTGTTTTCTTTAGAAACAAGTTTATTTTTTTTAAATTGTGTGTATAAACATAAATAAGAGGGCAGCTGTGGTTGGGGGTGTTGCAGACAGATCACTCATGCAGTTTAGGTGCTTAGGGCATCATTTATTTCAGATGTCTCGGGAGGGGAAAGATCTCATTAAAATCCTATTAGGTAATTCACACATTCTAAACCCTAAAACATGCCATATAAATGAATTAACCTAATAATCTTAAACAGGCTTCCGAGAAAAGTGAGAGTGGATTACAGAGAAGCAGATTTCATTAAACAGACTTCATTTAACTAACTGATAGCAATATGTCTGTCTAATCTATGCCCTGCCAACAAGATTATTTCTAAGGATGCAGAACTTACTATTAATTTTTATCATGTGGCTAAAGATGCACAGAAACCACAACGCTTTACATCGTGTGAACTCTGGAAATGTAGTTGTTTACAGAGATCTAATCTGCATGTTATTGGGTCCTAAAGAAAAAGAGCGTGTTTCTGTTGCATCCTTTGGCCTCGCATTGTGTCTCCAGGCAGAAGACAAGGCCTCAGTGTGAGACACAAGCAGAACCCCATGCTCTGGCCTGGTCAACCTGCCAGCACCAACTTCTTGAGGACTTTGTCTCATTGTTTGTTTTCTTGGTAACCCAACTGTTCCCTCAGATGCCCAAGTCTGCTGCAAAACTCAGCCTGGGCTTCCCTGCAGTGCTGCTCCATCTGTTAGCTCCTTGGCCAACTCTCCATCAGCTCCTTGGCCAACTCTCCATCATCCACTTGAAGCAGCCAGCCCACAGCTAGTGTAACAAAATCAGCAACAGCCCACTGTGCTTTAGAGGCCCTCAGGCCAACAACACAGGTTTGCTGCTTTTCTGGTTCTCCTCTACTGTATATATTGCTTCCTATTCCATCCCCTGCTAGAGGAAACATTGAACTAGCGTTGAAACGGGGACAACTTGCTGTAATCCAGTCAATTGATCCTGACCACCCATGATCTGTGCAGCACTGTGCTAGTTTTAGCCTTGGAGAGAGCCAAGGCAGAACATCTACGGAGCAGAAATGCTCAACTCCCGGCTCTGGGTGGCATGCAGCATATGGTCACTAAAGCTTTCTCCTTGCAGGGAGCTTTGTGTTCAGGGTTGAGTTGCTATAGTTGCCTCCAAGCTATATTTCCAAAGATTACTCATCACAGACATGCAAAAGCTGAGAATTTGCCTAATTTAGACAGCTCCCAGTCTCTCCGAATCATCATGCAGCCTCATCCCCGCTGGAGGCCTCTTTGCAGCACTTGGTTCACTTGCAGCAAGGTCTGAACCTACTTATTCCAGCTCATGCTCACAGGCTAAGATGAGCATGGAAAAGGAGAGGGAGCAAAACCAGCAGGCAGACGAGTCTGCTGTGAGTCTCAGCAGGGCAGCCTGGTCACACAGATCCAAACTCCTGCCACAGGCCATATTGGTTCCTGGTCCTACACAAAGCTGTGAAACAGAGACATCCTACCCTGCCAGCTGGGAACTGCAGGCATTTTTGATTAGGATGCATCTGGACAGAGAACTGCACCTCCAGCTAATCTTACCCTGACAGGGCCATTTATAGCAGGCAGCAGAGACTGAACAGTTGCACAATGCAACCCTAATGCATCATTACCTATTTCAAGTCACATCAGATGTCTTCCGCCTATTAATAGTTTCACAGTGTGCCCCTTCATGCGCTCCCGAGGTGGACGCCACAAGGACACGATGCTTGGCTAGCAGAGCCTGACGCCCGGCACGGCCACATCCCAGCATCAAGAGTCACCCGTAAGGCACCGTGTTCTCAGGAGGGTTTCAAAACAGATTTCACAGCTGGTCCAGTGTGCACAGCAGCGACCCACTGCACAGCAGCAGATCATGCCTGGGATGTGCAAATAGGACAATGCTGCTGGGCTCGATATCCATCGTTATCATCCTGCTGGCCGGAGGCCGCAGCTCTGACAAGGGGCAGCATGTGGGAAAGGAGAGCTCTGGCTGCTTCTGAGCCAGGCGAGCAGGAAGGCAACTGCATCATCTGCTCCAGCCTGCCCAGAGTTTGGCTTGCATGATTGATGATGCTCATAAGACAAAGAGGATTAAACAACAACTCAGAAACAACCAACCTGAAAAATCCTATGGCATTTTCATTTCAAGCTCCATTAGAATCCCAGGAAGAAAAAAACACCTCACAGATCTTGAGGAGAAGAGGGACAGCTCTTCTGAGATGCTGCCGCTCTTTAGATGTGGATTTTTTGTAAAATTCACCCCATCACAGATAGGTGCCTGCTGCCATCCTGCTGCTTGTGTTTAAGTCTTTTATTGCTAGGCAGTAGATTGGTCTGACCCTTCCCAAACTTGTCCATGATCTGCTTGAAGTATCCACCTAAACAATAGATGATCACACTGGCAGCTGTGCCATGAAATTCTTCATTGATTCCAGCACCGAGGCCAGCACAGCGCTGGGCTCTTAGTCCACATCCTAGGATGTTCTTCCTCTGGGATTAGTGTCCCCTGAACCCAGAGGGAAACTTGAGCATCATGGGCTGGAGCACCTGCAGAGGGTGCTGCAAGCTCACAGATGTTTGGGAATCTTCCAGCCCATCCCAGAAAAGCTCAGCTCAGGCCAATTCACAACTACTAGAGCCCAGGGTACAACAGCATCAAGACGGTCTTGGACAGGGAGGCTCTGAGCCCTCAGTCTGATCTGGCAGGACAGTCATAAATGTAAAGCCCAGGAAAGGAGAGATCTATAGAATGACTGGGAAAGGTTTCCAAACCTGGAAAAGGATCCAGTCACAAGTGCACACACACTCCTGCTGGCACACGGTCTTTTACTGGTGCTCATGGTTGCTATAACCCTTACGTGATTCTGGACATCAGTCAGGCCGCTCTCCTCTCCATCCTACTCCAATGGAAGCAAAGGTTGCTTTAGAAGAAAAAGAACATTGAACAAAATATTTTATGAGGACAGATCCCTCAGTACTAGCGACCAGTCAGTTAAGTACAGGGACCAGTTCCAGCAGCCCTGCTTTCAGAGTACTGAATCCCTGCACATGTAGTCAAAAATAAGAAACTCTTCTCAGCTGTGAGGGGAAGAGGAGAAGAGGGAGAAGAAAATGAATTAAGAAGTGCTCCTGGCAGCAGCAGCAGGATGAAGCCATTCCTATGCTCTGAGAACGCTTTCCTACCATGTCCGGAGACAGAGGGATGTCCCGCCACGTGTAGCCACAACGCACATCCCCCGCCACCTGCTCAGCCACCTCCTCAGCCACCTCCTCCTGCTTGCCTGTTCTGGACAGCGTTAACCCTGGAGCCAGCTCCATGGAGGAGTTCCCCTCTAAGTTGTCCCCTCACTCCAACATGTTCCGCCTCTCTTGAGCATCTCTCAGTAGTAGTTGTCCTTCTTGCCATCAGCTCCCTGGATGCCTGCATGGTCCTTCTGCTCTTGAACAAATTCCAGGTCATCATTGTTGTCCACCTCACCTCCATGATCCTCCTGGGTGCAGAGGGAAGAGCCAGAAAGGAGAGTGAGCAAGGCTCAGAAAATGACACTAATACACAGCACTGGGCTGCTTTTCCACACCAACCCACCTGGGGACACTTGCAGCGTGAGAAGCCAGCCCTACCAGTGACCTTTAAATGAGAGTGGCAAGTTGCTTAGCCAGGGAGAGGTGGCCCATGCTGCCATGACCACACTGCTAGCTCTGAGCACATTCACTATCCTGGCATTACAACACATTTTAACATAGCCTATGGCCACTGTTAAAAAAAAAATAGAATACTATATCCTCACTGCACCATACTTAAAAGTGGTGCAACAAATCCCACCCCCCAGCACTCAACACAATCTCCACTGTCATTTCTAGGTCCCATTCTCCAGCAGACAAGCTAGGTTCTTGCATAGGACAAGGATACTCCCTGATATCAGCTTTGCTATTCCCTCCTCCACCTCTTTTTCATTTCCAGGAGGCAGCCCAGACCCTCAATCCACCACACCAAGCATGCTGAGGTCAAAGGAAAAAACAGCATCAACCACTGCCAACACACAAAGGAGGAGCAAGATTAGATGTTCAAGGGACTGCAGAGAATCCTTCACTTCCAGATGGATGAGCCAGAAGGCACCAGGGTGACCCTGTCCAGCACGTGTGCAGCCAGCACAACTCTCAATACAGCAGGAGACAGATGGGAGAAGCAAAGGGAAGGGGAAATTGTGCTCATCATCTGGAAATCGTACTCATCAGCCCCAATAAGGGGGCTTTTTGCCAAGATCCTTTTTGCCTTGTCTGAAATGAAAATGCAAGGGACACAAGAATGTTCTTTTGAGGACCGTGAATCAGTGATATCAGTTGAATGCTACTAGAAGAAAGCTGTTGAGGTTGCTCTGCAGGCTGCAAGGGAAGGAGGAGAGCGTCCCCTCAGTCAACTCCCAGCCATAGGAGCCTGGTCCTAAAGCCAAACGTGCTCTTCAGCAGCTGTCATTAAATGTTGAAATCATCTGGGGCCATAAGCTTAGACATGCAGAAAAACAGTTCCTTTCTAATTCCACCCTTAAAAATAGTTCTATTCTTTATGTTGCTCCTGATTCAGACTTAAAAATCTTTAAAATTAGAACAAAACACCTCATTGGAAACATCTGCCACCAAACTATGGCAGCAAGTATCTAATATCAGAGTTCAACTTTTTAGATCAGCTCCATAGAAAAGCTTGGCCCTCCTGCCCTCACCACATGTATATGTATATAATCCAATTCTGTGGACAACCCTCAACATGTGCCTGTTGACCTCACCCAGGTCCCCTTGGGGGATCTGTATGATCATAGAGATTATTCTTTTTCCTATCACCATGTATCTGAATCCAAAAAACTACAATAATATTAGTTCTGGCTCTGCCCACATCACCTTCAATCTCCCTCTGAACACCTGCAAAGAGCAGGAAACAGAAGTATTTTCCAGGCTGTTTTGGAGACTCACCTCACTGGGCAGGCAGAGACAGAATCAACCCCATCTAGTTTCTTAAAAGCCAGTCCATATTTGACTCCTACCAGCAGACACAGGCAGCAATCATAGCAGACAGGGGAAAAAAAATAAAAAAATAATAAAGAACCTTGATGTCATACAATTTCTTGTTCCTGATCTTCTTGGTAGTCATCCATAGGGCCTTCCTTTCCCTTCACAGGTCTGCCAGTATCCTAAAAGAAAAACACAGTATGGACATTGGTAATGCTGCCCCAACCTACTTGAGGTTTCTGTTGTCCATGCAGCTCTTTCATGGAATTCCAGGACTGCCTGAAACAGTCTATGTTCTGCACTAGTTGTGGGTAAGCCCAGCTCCAGTAGAAGTCTTAGCCCTCTTCCCTGYTATGTCCCACTGCTAAATTTGCAGATAAAACTGTAGAAACTAGCAAGGATAGTTAGATAGAGCCACCCTTACTGGTGAGGGCTGAAATATTAATGCTTTCTATAATTCATGACTCTCAGACAAGGCCCTGGAAGCTCACAGAGAAGTTAACTCACAAGCTACAAAGACTACAAATCACCTGGCATCAGATGCAGATGGTGACAGGAGAGAGAGTTCTCTCCCCTTTGTCACATCCCTGTAGTGGGATTATCGGTCCCTCCAGGAATAGCAATGTTTTCCTTTGAATCCTTAAATCCTCCACCTTTCCCAATTCACTGTAGTGGGTCTCTCCCTGAACCCTACTCCTGTAGAAATAGCTGTCCTCAGATTTGTCACCTTTGGTGGCTTCTCCTCAGACTCTTCTTTCATTCTGGGCTCCTTGAATTTCTCCAAACCTTCCTCCTTCTCCTTCAAATGTGGTCTTTCCAGCTCAGCTTCTTCAAACTCATCTTCACCTTGGTTATTTGGATCTTGGGCAGGGTCTGGAGCATCTTCTGGCATCTGGACAAGAAAAGCCTCTTGTGAGAACCAGGCAGGACATTCCTTAGGGGGGCAGCAGCTGAGTAGCACACCTCCAACTTTCCTCCTTAAATATTTGACCAGCTCTATAGACATTAAGCAACTATATTCATAAATATTTGTTTCTCCATCTCTTTTCACAGTTCTCTTCAGCTACAACCTCCCCATTCAGTTTGGATCTACCAGATAAGACAGCAGGATCCTTATTCAGAGCTAGGGATGCATCCTGATGACAACGTACAAGGTTTCTTACCACTGGTTCTTGGTCTACAGCCTCTTTCTGAGAATGCACATTCTCCTCTCTCTCAATCATTCCTGCATCTGCAAGAAAAAGGGACAGGGATGCATCCTCCAGACAAAAGACCTCTTTTAGGGATCAGTAATATGGACTCAGATCTGGGCTACAAGTGGATGGAGGTGTCCCCAAACCCCTGTTCAGATCAGACTAGTCCTTGGAAAAAACTTGATAGCAAAGCTATCCTGGAACAGGTTATGGGAAGTGTTATCAGCGCGTTATCTGCCGAAGCCTGTGGGTAGACTGAGGTCAACACCTATTTTGTACAGGGTTAATATCGCTGCTCTCAATGGTGATGGTGACACCAGCTTTGACCAATAACCACAAGTAACATCAGCTTAACCTGCTGCTTCCTCAAAGCCAGCTAGGCAGGGGGACAGGCAAGGCAGGAGAAGACACTAATGAGGGAGAAAAGAGGCAATTTACTGAGCTTATTTCTCTTGCATGCCTTTTTTTTTTTTTTTTTTTTTTTAAGTCTGCCTGTTGCTTTCAGCTACAGAAAGGCACAAACCTCACAACCTGGATATGACTCCAGCCCATGCTAGCTCCAGTGCTTGGCACCCTGACCACCATTGGCAGGGGCCAAATGCTTCTCCCCAAAATCCTAAAGGTGCCCATAAGGCAGCAGTGCTCCCTATGGGACAGCAGCATGAGTCGAGGTATTACTTTGGCTGTTAATTCCAATTAGGGCATGCAGGTCAAGGGCTCTTGGTCCTCATTCTTCTTTATCCCTGCCATGAGGCTATTTCCTTGCAGGGGGAAACTCACTTTGATGTGAACCAATTAGTTCAATTCTTCTCAGGGGACTTGCTGAAAACCAGGTCAGTGAAACACAATAGAGCAGCTGAGCACAGCTGGGGTAAGCACAGGAAAATCGAAGCTCCACTCCAAAGGGAGATCTCCAAAGGCAGCTCCTGTTCCAACATTCCTGTTTCTAGGGCCTGGCATATTCTTCTCCAGCTTAAGTGATTTTTTTCTCTTTGATCCAAAATTCAATTAAAACTGCTGGCCTTCATCTCTAGTAATTTAATGGCCTTTATTTCACAAAGCACAAATAGGCATTCAGCCGTTCCCTCATTTTGCTGCTCCCAGAGCCCAGCCCAATGGAAAAGTCTCTACTCAGAAGTGAGGTGAGGAGATTCTGCCCTCACAAGCTGAACTGATGGATTATTCATTAGTTGGTTTCACAGCCTTAGGACACACTTTAAACCAAGTCAAATGCTCCTTTCCCCCTGCTATTAGCTGACTGAGTGCAAAACATTCAATGAAACATTTGCTGACTTATCACAGGGGTCTGACCAGAGCTGCATCAGGAGGAGGAGKAATTTAACTTGTTAAATGAGCTCCAGTTGCTCAAATGCAGTTACTTACTAGGCACTTTCTAAATAGTTGTAGGCACTCGGCTGGCTGACTGACAAATACAACTGCTCAAACTACCTGCCCTTGAAATTATTTGCTTTTAGTCTCAGAAGGTCACTTGAAAATTTTTTTGGCTTGAATAAGCTAAATAAACCCACTTCTAAATAAGTAAATAAATGAAATTAATTCCTAGAGAAGACCTAAGATAATCTTATGCTGTACAGTAATGATTTGATGGAAAACCTACCCATTTCAAGTTCTTCCTCCTCCTCTGTCCTTCCCTTCTTACCTTCCTGAGCAGTTTTTTGAAGCTCTGCATYCCGTTTCCAGTTGGGCAGCTGGGGGCTGCCATTCCTCATCTCTTCCCCAGGCCCAGGGTCAAAATGAAGGCTCTTTTGGTAACCATTTACTTGTTCCTCATCCAACTGGGCATTCACTTTGTTCACTATGTCTTGCCAACTGCAACAAAGGTGAGAAAAAACAGAACACCCCTACCTCAGTATGCTTAGGAGATTTCAAAACAGCATTTCATAAGGGCAAGCAAATAAAAATTCCAAGGAATGTAGGAATTTGGGCTCATTTCCTGTTTCTGGCAGAGTTAGCAGATCGCATTAGTTACCCAAACTGCTACATGAAACAGGACATTTAATATGCCACATAAGTAGAAAGATATGCTTTATAAATGCAGTTTATCAGAACTACTTTAATCTCTTATTCATGTGCTAAGCTAATGTATCCATGTAGCAATAAACCTCAGTTCTAAATGGATACTTATGTCTTGCACATATTATAAGTTTTGGAAAAAAAATAAAATAGAATTCTTCTTTATGTTCCAACTTTCTTAAAAACAAAACACTACCAAGCAAAACTGAGGTGGTTTGGCCTAAGTAAAAAGCACACCACAAATACCATTCTGGGTGCCCATCCTTGCAGAAATCATGTGTCAAACACACTGGTTGCCTGCTGCTTCTAGATTACCCTGTAACTTGAAGATGACAGACCTTCAAATCTTCAAGCTCTATTTGTTCTTGCAGAGCTTAACGGATTACTGATTAGTGGAAAACCATGAACAAGTCTCAGCTCTAATACTCTAATTAAGAGGCATTAATTTGTGTAACTCAAGGAATCCCTTAGCCCCTCTTGCCGCTGAAGGTGGATGGCTTCCTTTATGCAAAATGTCTTCAGTGAGCTAAATGCAGGGTATTTCAGTGTTACAAATGCAGGGTAATTTATCCACTGAGAATGGAAGAGCGTTTTGCATCACCAACCTTTGTACTTGGAGCCGTTTGCTCCCTGTCAGGGGGTGGCTGTCTGGCATCCGAGTCTTTTCCGATGCAGATGGGTGTTTCAGATCAGACAGTTCCAGTTGGGGAGACTGGCTTTCCTCACTGCTTTTCCCCTGAACACGCAGCATCATCTTTACATCCTGCAGAGAGGACACACATGCTCAGGACATACATAAGCTCCTAACTGCATCACATCCTCAGAGATCTCCCTTGTGTTGGCAGGATCATTTAGCTCATCTCTTTTGGGCAGGTGAATCTTCAAGAGACAGAAAGCAGAAGCATGGTTATCTCTTTAAAAAACAAACAAAAAAAAAAAAAAAAAGAAAAAAGAAAAACCAACCCCCCCCCCACACACACCATTATAATAATTGCTACAACTATAGTCTAACCACGCAGCAATTGTTCCATCATTCTTTTAGGGATTTGCTTTGCTTTAGCTCGCACAGTCCACCCTAGAGGTGACAAGGTTCTGCTGTACACAAACACAGTAGATCCAGACCAAGAACCCTCTTTTTTGGGGCACTGAAGCACAAACTCTCATGAATGCACAGGCCAGGACAGTTTCCAGATCAAGAAAATACAATCCAGACACAGACCACTACAAGGACCACAGTTTTGAGCGGGCAGACACTGGGCAGATCCTTACTGGATTCCCATTGGGAAAGCTGTTCACGGTACGGGTGAAGCGGATGACAGGGGCCTCCCTGGGGCGCGGGGGCCAGGCGGGTGCAGCGCTGCGCTCTGGGGCTACCGGGGTGAGGAGCTCGTCACGCTGTGGCCTCGAGCTGGCGCTGCTGGGCAAGTCCCGGCCCTGCAGCAAAGGCCTGGAGACCTGAGCTCCCAGATGGTTCCTAGCGAGGAGATTCTCCCGATGGACCGAGAAAGCCTACAAGGAAGAAAGGAGGAGAGTGAACCCTAAAGGAAGCTGTCTAACTCCCTCTGGTTCACAGCCTGGTGCTGAAAACCCCACAAAAGCTCCCCCAAAAGTCCCACTCCCTTGGGAATACCGCACCTTCTGCAGCCCATGCTGCAATGGGCTGCTGCCTGGTACCGGAGGCGGCTCCTTCAGCTGCTCCTGCCCCTTCCCAGCTCCTGCTTCTTTGAAGCTCGGCATCTTCTGCAGCACTTCCTTGAACTGCCTGAACTCCTCCAGCTGGGCCTGGGAGGACGAGCCAGGGACAGAGGTTAAACTACTCCTTGCTGGTGCTTTTGGGGGCATTTGTTCAGCACAAGTCTACCAGAAAGTTCTACCAAAAGGAAGCGGGAAAATGCACAGCCATTATGATAACAAGCCTACACAGGGCTGAGCTGTCCCTGCTGATTTCATTGATTTTCTGTACTGCCCCTTTGCCAGTTTTGTATCTTATCATGTTTTTACCTTGGAAAAACCAACTCATAACATCAGTCCTTTGAGCAATGCTGTTTACAGCATTGTCATTGGTATAGCTTTTGCAAAAGAATTAATTTTGCAATTAATTTTATAGCCATGAACAGAGACAACTGATCATCATTTAGGATGGAATAGAAATATAATGCAAGTGATAGGAAGAAGCTGGTTTGGGTCCATAAGAACTGAGTGAGTCTTGTATCATATCTGTGTTTTCAACTTCTGAGAGAGACGCTAAGCTGGAGAATTTTACTGATTCGGAAAGCATATACACTGCTCATATCAGCACCATTTTTAACAAATTATCCCACTGGAATACATTAAGTTATTATTTATGACTGAGAAGTGGAGGATGCATGTTCGTCACAGGGGACATGCTCTTGTCAGATACCTGGGAGCTAAGAAGCTGAGAGTGAACTTCGTGATGGGCCTTCCGAAGAAGCTTGCTCTCTTCTTTGAGTTTAAAGATTGTATCTGCAACAAATGAAAGAATTTGCACTGAAAGATCTATTTTTGCAAGCAGAGCATCTCTCTCCCTTCCCATAAACCCCTCTGGACCTCTCAGGGCTCTAAGTCCAGTCACTGTCACTTGGGACCAAAAACACAAGTGTCCCCTTAGCCTCCCTGTCTTTCTGCCCATCTGAGAAGCTTCCTCCTCTCTGGAGAATCAGTCTGTTACACTCGCTATTACTGACAACATTTGTCTCAGGAAAGGACATTTGTTCCTTCTCCGTTTCTCTTGTCCATTGCAGTTGAACAGAAGGACAGTAACAGACTGTCAGAGACTTCAGTCCTGGGAGTTGGAAGGTTAAGGAACCATGTTCTCAAAGGAGGCTACACAAAGCCTACAGAAAGCAATCACAGCACAATCTGCTCCTGGAGGGCATTAATTTCTACCCTTTTTAGCAACACATGTGCCCAGAAGCTCCTGGTCCTTCCAAGCATTTTGCATGCTCCATGTCACTTGAATAGCAACAAACACAATAAAGAAACTTCACTGCCTTGAAAATACTTCTATATCCTCCAGGAAAGGAGGAGACTGTATCAAAAGATGTCAGCCTCAAGCTCTCTTAAAACATAATTAGAATTGCATTGTGTGCACTGGGATTTCTCTGAAGACCACCATGACAAGGAGGGGTATTTTCCATCACAAGATGGTCACTTTGCTCTAGGCTGATTCATAAATTAGATTTCAGCTCAAGATAATACACATTTCTAATTACAGTGGTGCATCTTTTTATAACATTCCTCCTGAACAGCAAAAGGAATCAGCATCACTGAATGATTACAGACTTTGGGGGATCTAGTCCAGCCCCCTGCACAAGCAGGGTCCCCTAGAGCACATTGCACAGGATCAAGGTGAGTTTTGAATATCTCCAGGCAAGGAGACTCCACAGCCTCTGGGCAACCCGAACTCTTATCCTCACAGTCAAGAAATTTTCCCTTAAATTCCAATGGACTTGCGCCAAAAGAGTGAGGACAACTGGCCAATTTGAACACCCTTGTTCCTGAAATACAGAGTTCCTACAGGGTGTGCAAACCTTTGGAAGTCTGGAGAACAGGCTCCCCTTTCCTGAGCTCCGTTCTTCTCAGTCCCCTTCCTGCTGAGTGTTTTCCCAGCTCTCTACCATACTCACCCTGCAAGTTTGTGACTTTGCTGTCCTTCTCCTGTTGCAGCTGGGCATATTTCTGGTTGTGGGTCTCTACTGCTTTACGATGTTCTAATTTCAAACTGTTATGCTGTAGCTGCAGGTCAAGCAGCTGCTTCTTGACATCTTCATGCTGGTTCTGCACCAGGAGGAAGAAGTGACAGAGTCATTACAAGTCGGGAAGATTAAGCAAAGCATTTTCAAGACCTAAATTCAGGACTGCTTTGTGAAGGCATTTGCTAACAGCAGCTTTCTTCTCTCCTGTCCCCTCATGCCACCCGAGAACAAAACATGTTGAGACATCTTTTTACTCAAATCCACTGAACCAGAACTCACCTCCTGTTGGGTTCCCCTGGGAACACACAGGGTCCTTCCGGGTTGTTTTGTCAACAACAGTTACAGATGCAGATTGCTCAGCTCACAGGTGAGTCCTCACCCTTCCTGACAAAAGCTCCTTACAGCATAGGGAGCTCTCCTGTATATCTAACTTTACTTTAAAAGCCTTTAAGTTATCAGTGCTCATATTCAGCCCCAGTAGAACAAAGTATCTGTGGCCCAGGCACTCTGCCCCAGAGCAAAAAGCTCAGCTCAAAGGAGGAAAGAGAAGCTTCTGTGCTCCAAAAATACACACAGCAGAGGAAAAGGCTTCATTGTGGAGGGCTCTCAGAAAAAGAGCAAAAAGGAGAGACAAGGCTGTGGGATTAATCAGATCACAAGATCAGGAGGAAAAAAAACACACACACACAGATTAAAAATAATTTTTGCTMTGGCTTTCAAAGACATTAGGTACTTACAGCGCTTAGAAGAGCCATAGGCAAAAGCATTGCCCTATTCTTAAATATCATTTTGAGACCAAATACTTCAGAGAAGTCACCAATATTAGCAAATAAGAATTGTTTTTTATAAAGAAACCATAAGCAAATCTGAGGAATATTAAGTCCTCTTCAACTCAAGTCAATTAATTGTAGCCTGTATCCTGTCTGGCAAGTGATGCACTTAATGTCCCACTAAGGAGCAGCCTGCTCACAGCCAGAAAGCAGGGAAGGAAGAGTCATCCTCCAAGCACAGCAGGAAGCCAGAGAGATGAGTGTCCCAACCAAGGTCACACACAGCATCCAAGTCCAGCTCATCAAGCACATGGACCATCCTCACTCCCAGACAGTTCCTAAAAACAGCCATGACAACATATGCAAGTGTGAGAATGAGTCTAGAGGTGCCGAGTTTTGCTGTAACTGCTGAATAGGAGGACTGAGAGACATTATGCACAACGCACAACTGCTTTTTAGAGCAGCAGCCTCTCTGCAAGCAGAGTATTCTCAGTCCAATCCTTTTACCAGGCAATTTCTTCCAGGCACATTGGCAAATCTGAGGAATCCAGGGATCTCTTTGCCATATGCAGACATATACATTCAAATGCAAAGTCATTGTGCGACTCAGTTCCCTTCTTTGCCTCAGAGATGCTGTTTTGCTCAACCAAGCAGAGACAGTGAGAGATTCAGATACAAATGTCATGGCAGTCACTCACACAGCGCATATGTGTATATATATATATATATGTATATATTTATATATGCATGCAGAACTGGGTTGAGGGGAGATGGAAAGAACATCCTTGAAAGACATTTTATTCTGTGGCTCCCTACACCTCATGCCCAGCACTTTGCAATGCTTTAAGTCAGGTAATTCTAGAGAAACTGTGAATCATTTCTCAGCTACATGGATCCAGGGCAGAAAATCCTCCCATTTCACCYTCACCTTACAGATAACATACAGTGCCTTATGTGCCTTAATAATGCAGCAGCTTTAACTCGCTGAAGCCTGGGAAACTGGTAGAACAAGGGGGAAGAAGCCCCTCAAGAACACCTAATTCTGCTCTAACTTACAGAACTGCTCTGGAGATGGCATTTTACAGAATAGAATAAGTATCTGGATGCTCAGACCACAAGCAAAGGCAGGGCACACCTCACTGCAAGTTTTTAGATTTCAGTAATTTTAGGAAGCTTTTGCAAACAAATCTTTAATTTAAAGCTGCGTCCCTGTCTGCATCTCCAGGGAATGCTAGACTGGAATCTGCAGGAAGAGGATATTAAAAAAAAAAAAAAAAAAAAAAAAACACACACACCCTTCCAAACTCCACTCAAGATAATGAGAAGAATTGTAAGAAGATAAATTCTGGCCACAGCAGCAGGAAGCAGACCCTGGCAGTTGCTATTTTAGGACATAGCCTGGCCCCTTGCCCCTTGCAGACTGGACTGCTTTGCTTTTTGCAAACGCCTGCTCAAGAAGTGAGGTGCTGAAGGCTCAACACTTCCCAAGGGAATGGTGCAAGCTCGTATGTAAAAATGCCAGGATGGAAATGTTCCCACATGCTCAGAATCTGGTGAAGCCCCTGGATTTAGTAGGCACACAGCACAAATTCCCTGAGCCCCAGAGAGCCACCAAGGTGCCTCCTCTAAAACAGCAATATCCTCCAGAGTAGTTTCTCCCTATCAGCGCACGGAAAATGCATTAACAGAGAAGGGCACTGAGTGGGGGAAAAGGGTCTAATGGAGAAAGACAAGAGCAAGCGACAGAGCTGTCTCATGGGGTCAAAACACAAAGGCTACAGTATCTAAAAACCAATATCAAAGACCACATGAAGATCCTTTGGAAGTATAACCCTTGACTTTCCTTCCAGTGCGTGGTCTTGAGGGCAGAGATGACAGTCCCAGAGAATCAGGCTCTTCCCTTACCTTCAGGATCTTGTGCTGAGAACTGAGGGCCCCGTATCTGTTCATTGAATCTTGCTGGAAAAACAAACAAAAAAAAAAATCAGAGAGACATTAGGCTCCAAGATCCCCAAGGCAGMGGAAAGTAGTACTAGTTGAGAGTAGTTGAGTAGGATATGAAATTGGATGAAACTGGATATGAAAGTTTACCAGCAAAAGAGCATGAATTGTAAGGGAGCTGCCTAACCATTAGAATATTCAGATATTCACCCATGAGCTTCTTTCCATAATAGGATGACTTTCAGCAGTCACAGATGAGCAGCTAAAAACAATCTCTCTCCTCCAGCATCAGCAACAGATGCTCCAAGAGAGCGATAAAACTGTCCTTATAACATGAAGTGARTGGGACAGGGTAATCCAGGGATGCATTTCTTCCTAACCCACATCCATGAGCAGCTCTTTGCCCCTGCTGAATGAGAAATCATAAGCCCTGGTATTTTATATGCATTTACTTGATATTTTATATGCATTAAGGTATTTGTTGATATTATTCCTCATCTGGGGATTGGGAGAGGGTGGAAAAACAGGCAGGATAGTTCTAGCATGACACAGCATTCCCTAAGCTGAAGTAGATCCTCACAGACTGGCCTTGGCACAGGAAGAGTAGGGGCAAGTCCTTCCCCATCCTTGTACCCGCACAAACACACACACGTGCTGAAGGACAGGCTATACCCACCTTCTCCTTGTTGAGAGCTTCCTGAGCTTCTAATTTATACACTAAAAAATCTAGAAGGGGAAGAGGAAACAATTTAATGAGCCGGGATTTACAAGGATCTGGCTTATATTTTAAGAAGGAACAGAAACAGCCCCTTGCTAAGGGAAAGGCTGCAGCTCAGCAAGCCAGCATGCAGATGCTTCCAGGAGACACCTACTCAGCTCCCTCAAAAACACAGTTGTACTTCCCATGGAAGGAGTCCACCCACCTCGCCTGGCCCAGATGTCCTCCTCCTCCTGCTCCGCAGGGAAGTGCATTGGTGACTTCCCATTTCAGCCCAGATACAGCTGCATTTTGATAGCACTGATGCAATCAAGATTATGTATTTCCAGGAAAAAAATCCAGGTGAGTGCGAGGTAAAGTGCTCAAATGCTACATGATGGGTGATGTTATGGGTGATTAAGCTGAGAACTCATGTGGCATTAGGTCCCAGTCACAACCTCCCAGCATTCCAGCCCATGGGAAAGAGACAATTTACCTACCCTCTGCTTAAAAAGCAGGGATAGGTCTCACCTGGACAGGATCTAGCAAGGTCCCCACAGTGCTCTGGGTCTTCACAGATCCTCGCCAGGACAGTGGGGGGCTTCCAGCCCCCACTGGCCCCCCCCAAGAGACTCACCTTCCTTGGTCTTCTTGTGCTCCCCTCTCTCCTTCTGCAGGGATCGCTCCAGCCTGGATCTGTGCTCATACACAACTAGGAGAGCAGGGAGAGGCAAAGCATGAAATAAACCCCAGGATTTCCTCCCACACAGGCTTTTTCCTCAGGTCATACGCACAGGGACATATGTGCACATATGAATACAGCCCACAGCAATGCATAGAGACATCCCTGCTCCTCTGTGCCCATCACTAGGCCTCTGCCACCAGCCAAATCCAAAGAGTTTCACCTTTGCCAAAAGAGCTGGACTAATCTGTTCCCAAAATAAAGTGGGTTTCCATGGCAACACGGTCTTTGGGAACAGGCTGGCTGGCAGCCAGAGCGCAACCCCAGCGACTACAGCTCTGCCTTTCAGACAATCTTTTTATGGGTGGAAAAAAAGCTATAAGCAGACTCAGTCGGTTGCTTGAGCCTGCTGATTCCAGAGCCAGGGATCTCCCAGGTTCTTCCCAGGAGGAGCCATCCCTCTCTCCAGCACAAGCAAGAGATGCTGATGCACAGAAACACGAGGCTTGTTGTGTGCTTCCGATCTTGCTGCGGTGGAAGCCGAGGCTGCCGGGGCTGCTGTCCAAAAGTCTCCACGAATGGAGTAAGAAGTGGGAACAATGTGCAGGACCCAAGGGTGGCAGCGAAGCCACTCGCAGCCCAGGTCAGTTCATAGGGAAGCAAGCTCGCAAAGCCTCTCCTCCCCATTTACAGAAACGCAGAGCCCTGAAGGCAAGAAGCACGTATATAATGTTAAATTACACACAACGCTGCAAATGAAATCACCTAGGAGTATCTAACCCTGAAGACATGTATTTCTCCAGGTTAAAAATGTCATTCTACCACAGGCAGACATTTATCCAAGGACAGGAAGAAAGAAATAAAAAGGAAGTATTTTATACATGTATATATATTATTTATATATATATATACACACACACACACATTATGTTTACTTTGCAGCCTTTTGGCTGCTCCTAGGGTGCTCCTGCTCCTGCTACAAGCACTTGCTGCCCTGCTGCAGCTCTCCAAAGCAGGCCCAGAAAAGCCCCTTCTACCTCCTTCCCACCACATCCCCTTTAGCAGCGACCAACACCAGCCCCAAAGAGGCCGGCAGGACTTTTCCAGAGCCACGTGAGTCTCTCAGAGAGGCACTAGGTTTCTTCCCTTGCAAGGGAAGCACAAGGCTTGATGATGAATGTTCTAATTCTAGCTGGTGACAGGAAGAAAGCGATGGGAGACGAGGTCTCCTTGGAGCTCCTAGAGGCTGGAACCGAACGGCATTTGTGGTGCCAGGGCTGGGCAGGGAGGAGAGGGAAGTTTGGAGGGAAGAGCGCGTGCGTACACGGAGTCACTCACCTTGGAGCTGGGCAGACAGCGCTTCCTGCTGCTGCTTGTACTTCTGCGCCAGGGCTTCGGCGTCCCGCACCTTCTGCTCCAGGTGGCCGTACAAGAAAACCCCGGAGCCCAAACACATCAGAGCCATCAGACAGAAGCCGGTCTGCAGGAGCCCCTTCTGCCTGCGGGAGCACACGCCGGTGCCCATGGCGGACGGGCCGCTGCAGACCCGCACCTAAAGCGGCCGCTTATTCCCTCCCGGAGCGCCTTTCCCTGCCGCCAATCCCTCAGTTGCCCCCCGCACGACTCCAGCAGGGTCTTTGCCGCTGGATAACGCTTCCCTCCTTCCCTCGCAGCTCCGGGGGAAAGGGAAGGATCCCCAGGAGCCGCGTGTGGCTCATGGCCCGGGGGGAGCGCGGCTGGAGGCCGGGAGGAGCCGCCGGGAGCCACAGAGCGAAGGGACCCAGCGCAGGGGCGAGACTGGCAGGAGGAGGAAAAACTTTTGCTTCCCCAGCGCTGCCAAGGGGAAGGAAGGGGGAAAATCCGCTGGTTCGGGCTCTTCCTGCCCCCCCCCCCCTCCCCTCCGAGCACCGAGCGGAAAAGATAACCCGGCGGGACGGGGGCCCCTGCGCTGCCCCCGCGTCGCTCCCTTCCCTTCCCTCCCCTCCCCTCTCGCGGCTTGCGGCGGTTTCCCGGAGGAAGCGGCGACGCTCCGGAGCGGAGAGCGGCCAGGAGAGCGACCGCGGCATCCGGGCTGCGCCGACCCGCCCCCGGCGCCGGGGGGGCCGCTCCTCGTCCCGCCGCCCCCTTCCGCCCCCCGTGCTGCTCCCGGAGCATCCCGCGGTGCCCGGGGCGAGAGAGCAGCGGTCTCCCCGCCGGCGGGAGCCCGGCCTCCCTCCTTGGCCTCTCCTGCCCTTCCCAAGCGCCCGGGAAACGCTTCAGCTGCTGCTGCTGGTACCTGTTGCTGGAAGGAGGCAGGGGCAGGACATTGGTGCTAATAAGCAATAAGGGCATCATCCCCTAACTCCTACAAGGCTTTAAGAGCAGGGGTTTCTCCTCAGGAAGACATCAATTAGTAAAGGAATAAGTGCTTTAAGGCACTAGATGAGCTAGGCCTTTTAAAGGCATATCCTGAGCTTGCAGGTGCTATTTAAGACCCCCAGGTTTCTGCTGCACCTTGCCTGCACCAGTAGCTGGGCTGCCTCAGCTGCTGTCTGTGCTTGCAAGGACAAAGTGCCTAGGATTCTGCCCAGCTCTGCTTTGTAGGTAGCTGGGGAACAAGCAACACTCACAGCAATTAATGTTTCAGCAGTGATTCCCCTCCAAAAATCACCCAGGGTGTTATTATTGTGAGTTACCTGTGCTTTATAGGACAGGTGGGAAGTAGCCTGGTATGTCACATATGTGCCCTGGGCTGCAAAGGACAGCATCTTTTTTTTAGCTGTTTTTGGGGATCTGGAATGTCTCTGTCTGCATCAGGAGGCAGATTGTGTGGTAAGGGCTCTGGGTCTCAGTTTTGCTTCTGTTTAGCACTTTTCTTAATTTTCCTTGCTGCTTTCATTAATTACTTCCTCATGTTCTGCTTCCTGCCTGAGAAACACTGGGAATTTCTAAGGCTTTGATAGAAAGGGGTTTGGAATGCTTGAAGATCATGAATTAGGGAGCTAGTCTGACTAGATTTTTATGCTTATCTTGCTAGGGCAGGCTAGAATTTTTCCTTKCCAAGGATTTCTATGCCCCAAAGGAAAAGGGGACATCTTAGAGGCCTCATTTTGGTATGTATCCACTATTCTTTTTTTCCTTTTTTCATAATGTACTGCTTCTTACACAGTCATTCACAGCAGTGCCCTGGCATCTGACATTGCAAATTGTTGCAATGAAACATCCAGGATAAGAAGATGGGTCACCTTATTCTCATTTTATAGATGATGCTGAGGCAAAAGCTGCTACTTACAGGACCCCAGGGAACTAGATGAAATTAAGGAGTGAAAAACAGTGTCCCTGGTTATTCCGGCAGGACAATTCCACAACTGCAGTCCCTTGGCTGAATACATCACACCGTTATATTTATTTGCCATCTGCCTTTGATTGCAGGCTCAATTCAGATATTCTTTGCAGAGATTTGTTTGCAAGTGCTTTAAAGCTCTCTGAGATTTCAAATGGATAGATGAAGATCCAAGCTGTCTCTAGTGCTTTTTACAATGCTGACTGGGCTAAAAAAAAAAAAAAAAAAAAAAAGGAATATTTGCCTCAATAGCTGAGCTCCTGAGACACTGGCTTGACTGAGACACATCAGGCCCAGAACTATAATGTCACCTTGAGATCACTGTGGGACAATGAGTAAATTCCTTTCTCTCCGTCCTTCTACAGGACTTAGTATTACTTACTTATTGCTTAAAATGGACAAGTGAGTTTCTACTGAATGAGTGAGGCTGCCCTTTATTTGGCTTGAAAACCAATGAGGCAATAGGAAGAAAAAGCAAAATAATTCCATTTAAAAATTCTGCAGCCAGTTGTTCCAGCTGCACCAGCAAGTTAGAGGAGCCCAAAGAACATAAATAAGGTAGGAAGGTGCTTGGCAGCAGAAGACATTGTGCTGCCAAAGAGGCATTACTGGGCATGTGATGCAGGTGATGCTTAAAATATATCACTGGGCTTGCTATTTAAACATACCTGTATGTTATTTATTACCTCTGCCCCTAACTGGCCTATGTATCTTTTTTTTTGAGCAAAATGTTCCAACACACCCAGGACTAACCTCATATTTTGTGATTGATACCATTAATGATCCATTGTTCTCAGTTACATCAATTACAAGCTGAAATAAACTTATTAGATATAGAAGCTATCAAGTTTATGCCGTTTTCAGTCACACAAAGTTAGCTCCATATTTTGGAGCCTTTTTTTAATCAGTCAACTTATTTTATGTTCACTGGATACAGACAGAGCCCAAGGATGAACCCAGGCTTTTTAAGCGTATTCATTTGTTATCTAATCTAACTTGGAGCAGTTGTTTTCTTCTAGTAAAATACATTGTTTAAACATCAGGATAGGTGATTTCAGTGTTAAAAGTTGCTGGCAAGGAACAAAGTAGAATCCTTTGGGGTCTGCATCCTCTTAGGCTGTGTCTCTATTTGCTTAGAGTAGAGACCTACATGTGGAATTGCTCTGAATTAAGGACTTTTGCAGGCGGGTGTTGGATGCAGGTCCCTTTCTTTTGTTAATTTCTTGCTGAATAGCAGAATTATCCCACACTCTATTTTTGCCACATCTGCATGCTGCAGAAATTTGGGAGAGGAGGGGTTGCTCTGCAAGCTGCCTTGTCTAAGGAGTTTAAACCCAGGTGGTCCTGGAGAGGCCTTTAAAATCTGTCAGATGAGGAAATGTGGCAAAGCCTGAGGTTTGGGGCTATTTCTGTAAAACAGCGGCATCCAGTGGGCTTAAAAAAAAAAAAAAAAAAAAAAAAAGGCAAGGAAAATACCCTGGAAAATGAGGCTGGGACCTGCAGGAGCAGAAGCCTCTGCCCACGTATCCCCGTTCCCACACGCAGAGCGCTGCTGCCCGTTCCAGCCCCGCCGCAGCACGAAGGGATCAGGACGGCTCCATTTTACCTCAGCCGCTGCCGCCTCCGGGCAGCCCCGTCCCTGCCGAGGCCTCGGCGGCCCCCGGGAGCCTCCACTGGGCCCGGGGCGGCGGTTCGGGGCCCCCCCGGTGCCTGCGAGGCCGCGGCCCGCGGGGGAACTACGAGTCCCAGCGTCCCCCGCCGGCGCCGGGAGGCCTGGGCGGGGCGGCCCCGGGGCCGAGCGGCGGCGGCGCTGCTGCTGCGGCGCTGGCGGCGCGGCCGGGCCCGGCTCCTCGGTAAGGGGGGACGCGCTGCGGGGAGCCCCGGGGGCCGCGGGGCCAGGCCGCGGACAGGCCGCGGGTGCCGCATTGCTGCTCCCCAGGCAGGAAGCCGGCGGGGACGGGAGCGCGGCTGGCGGCGCCGCCCGTGCCCCCTTCAGCGCCCCACTCTCCGCAGGCCCGCGTGCAGCCCGGAGCAGCGGGAACGCACGGAGCCCTCCGCCCAGGACGGGTGTGAAGGGCCGCCCCGAGCCTTCCTCGGCCTCCTCAGGTACGTGGGGCCTTCTCGTGCTGGGGTGAGGAGGGAGCAAGGCGGCCAGTCCCCCTTCCACCACGTTGCACGCCTGCCTCTTCCTGAGCCCCTTGGGGCTTTTCTTCTGGATGAGCTGTCCCAGAGGGTGTAAATACGGAGAGTTTCCGCCAAGGAAGCCCTTCCTTGCTGGGGTGCCCCCTGAGCACGGAGGAGCTGGGGGTGACAGCTCTTGGGCACCCAGTTTCATGCACCCTGTTTTAGGGTGAATATCAGAGCTGAGCACGTGCTGCTTGTGCCTGTCCCCCGATTGTGCCCGTGGGATGTTTGCAGTCCCCGGAACAGAAACAAGGGCCAAACTTAAACTTATAGCTGCACCGAAACCACCGCCTCTGTGCGGCTTGATCTGCCGGCAGACACTCAAAACCAAAACTCCCAAGCAAGCTCTTCCCGAGGGAGGTGTTGCCACTAATTCTGTTTTGTTGAATAATTCTCTTTTTAGGTTTCAATAAGGTAAATGGGTTTCCCTTTTTGTCCCTCTTGCATAGCCCATCCCTCAGAGTCAACACCTGATAATAATCTCCAGAATTGTGTGATACTTGGGTTGCCTTAGTTCTTTGCTTAATATATGTATTGTTTTATATGCATTGATAGATATTCTTAATGCTTATTTTTTTTTACATTTGAAGCTATATGACTAGGAAAATCGATTGCCCAATTAGTGTAAGAGGAACCTCCTTTTCTCCTGTTTTGATTTGCAGGGGCCCTTAATGCACTGCTAGGATTCTTCTGAAGAATATGCATTGGTTGCTAATGTCGTATTTCCCAAGAGCTGCTATTTTTGCTCAGTGTCCTTTACTAATGGTCAGCACAGAGCAGCAACTGAAGAGGGAGCATGTGCAACAGTGTCTTCCCAATAGCGCTTTCATGCATGTTTCAAAGTTGCAAAAACTGGAAGTGCTGCCAGTTTGGAGGTTGAAACTCTCTTTTTCATTTTTGTTCGGTAAAGAGTGATATTCCCAGCTTTCTTATCTACCTTGATCGACAGGTCTTTGGCTGTGTGACCACACTGGGTGAACCTGAGCTATGGCAGGTACCTCTGAAACAAGCCCCTGTCCCACACGTGTGACATTAGCACTGGCTGCCTGCAGAGACCAGTCTTAGTTGCCTGTGGTTTGGCTCAGGACTCTCCAGTTTGGTAATTCAGATGTTCATGGGTCATGTTTGCCCTAAGTGGCTGCTTCCACTTGATCTATTTTGTTTGGTTCTCATCATCTCTGATATCAAACTGCAGAATTCAGAGCTGTGCTGAAATGCTGCACCTCTTGTGCCAACATGGACTGTGCCCTTGTATTTCCAACTACTGTTTTCCAGGGATCCCTGCTTGTGGGATTAGAATGCAGAGCTGTGTGCACAGGCAGACAGAGCCCCGTTTGTTTTGCAAGGATTTTCTGATTCATGGGAGGAAGCCAGGGTGTTGTGAATGTGCTCACAGGGAGAGCAACGCGAGCTCTGTGCATTCTGCTTGGAAGCTCTGCTTTGGGTGCCCCGTTGGTCTTGCATAGTTTTTGTTACTGGGTTTCTTGTTTTTCTTCTCCTAATTTGCTCCTCCCATTGCTTAACATGTGATCAGATCAGTTCATGTTACTGGCTCACGTTGTTCCTTCTCCTATACCTTAATAAAGCATTTAATTACTATGCTGCTCAAATGGTCATATTTTAAGGTTGCCATTAGCGGGAAAGAAAATCCCCTTGGATTTTTTGTTCTGTTTTTCCTCCCCCTCTCTTAGCATTTCAGTGGAATGTCTTTTTCATTGGAAAAAGTATGTTTCTAGGGCAAGTAGCACCTCACCCAGACTGGGAAACCTATTTTACCTTTCCTGATTCTTTTGCATGTTTCTTCTTTTCTGGAACTTGCAGGGCTTAACTGAATAAAGATTATACTTCTCCTTCATGCCCAATGAGAATACAGAGCCTTTGGTTACCAGTCCTGAGCCGGTAACATCAACTAGTCACCAGAAAAGTGATAGTGGTTCTTGGTTGCAGGAAGGGAAGGGGGTGCTCAGTTCTTGGAGTTTTCTCATGCCACAGAGATCTTCGGTGGAGAGCGTGGAAAATATAAAAGACCATTGTCTCTCAGCAAGTGAAAAATGTCGCTGCTCCATCTGTAGCAAGTGAGCACTTAAAAACTGCTCCTGGAGTGTCTTTTTCTTAAGCTGGAATGTGATGTAAACACAACTCTGAAAACTGCCATTGACAAAAAGTGGGTTCTGATCTTCCCCAGCTACTAAGCTTTTGAGGGCTCCAGGCTCTAATCTGCAAGCTGTCAGAGCCAATTAAAGCCAGTGGCTGGAGCTGATATGTTTGTCTCCCTTCTGAAAAGAACACAGTTCATCCAAAGCCAGAAGGAATTTTCATCAGGATTCTGAACAATTACTTTATGGGATGTAATAAAGGAGAGTTCCACCAGATTCCCACTCTGGATTTTTGCTTGTAGTTCTTAATTCTCCAGTGACTTGATGAATGCTGATCCTGCACATGTAAACTACAAAGCTTTTTGCTCTCAGTAAAAGTTAGTAGAGAGGACTAGATTTTTTTGCAGTATTTGACAACTGTTGTCTTAGAAATCTTAATTCCTGCTAGACCCGAGTTGGCAAATGCTATTGCACCTTCCTGTGGGATACCACAGCTTCTGCTGTGGGAAGCCTGGCAGCTGTTTATTTTTGGTTGATCAGTGCTGTTTCCTGAAGGTCCTGTTTGCATTTGTCCTGGCTACAGCAAACATTGACAGGTTGTGCAACCCAGTTTAATGGACGAGAGCCATGAAATAATCAACGTTGAACTGACTCATTAAAAATGCTTTGCTTAGCAGGAGCACAGATATAGCAATGGAGATGATCTATGATCCGTATTTTGCACTTCTTTTATTGCTTGTCACTGACAGTGATCCTCTTTTGGTGCATAGAGCTTGGTGGCAAAAGCAGTTTGGATTGAGGTAGCGTAGATGAGTACTCGGTTCTGGAAGCAAGTTCATTTTCTGCATCTCTTGTCATCCCAAGTGATTGGAGGTTGTTTCAGCAGTAACTCTAGACTGAATTAAAAAAAACCATATAGACTATCACAAAAGAACATGATATTCCTGACTCTCTTGCATCCAGCATCTTGGTCTATTTGGAATTTCTCCCAATGACAAAACTTGGCTTATTTGGCTTTGTGCAGATCAAGACAGAAGGAGAAAGTGGCGAGACACAAGTTCAGTGTCTGGGTTTCGTTTAGCAAGTCTTGTACCTCAGGGAGGCTGCAGCGCTCGCTGATTGTGAGATCTAAATATTGTCGCCGTCTGACACCAAATTTTGCCTTTAAACATCTCTCCTTGAAAGGCCAGGTGATAGTTCAGGGGCCTCTTGCACTCCTGCAGAGAAGGGGCAGGGAATCCTCCACGTTGAGATAATAGTGAGAGGCTCAACTGGCCCCGGACTGTGCCCCCTGGCCGCTGCTGTCTCCACTTGGGAGCTTCTCCGCGTGTCCCAGCCCGGCTGGGTTTGCCCGGCTGTGCCTGCGGAGCAGGGAGTCTGCTGGGAAATGAAATCAGCAGCTGAATCCAAAGTAAATCTCAAATGAAAGCACTGCCCAGCCAGCTTTGAGAAACAAAGATGCTGTGGAGTCCCCAAAGGTAACTGTCCTTTGCTGGTGCTCTCCTGAGAGAGGTGTTTAGAAGCCACGGTGACAAGTAGCATGGAAAGCCTGAAGCTACATAAATCAGGCCCTTCCTGCATTCTGGAAACCTGCTTCTGCACCAACCTACTCCTTCTTATATTTAAAATGGGATGTTTGGCTGGGGGAAGAGTTTATTTTTAGGCTTCAGCTGTTTTATGGGTAGACATTAGTGATAGCAACATGACACAAAGATGTTCCTAACGCCACATGTGAATGGACAGCTTGTCCACCTTGCATGGAGCTGCCGGCCAGGTCGTGACCATCCGTGCAGCTTCCCCCGCGGTCGTGGCCATGGGACATCCCTGCGGATCCCTCTCCTATCTCGCACCAGCCGCCGCGTAGGAGACGCCAAACTCCCCCTGAGCCCAGCCCAGACTGCAGCCCTGCCCTTGCTTCCTCCCCGGCTCTTTTCTCTCATACCCTTTTGGATATTTTACAGGAATTATTGTGCCTTGGAGTGCTCAGATTAGTTTGCACCCCCTTCTCATTTGTAGTGAAGCTGTGAAGGTCCCTGTTTTGTATAAAGTGCAGAGGCATCTGCATGGCAGGCCAGGCCTCTTACGTAGCTACATCAATCAAGGGGGGAAAGAAAAGCTGAAGTTTCATTTTAATTATCACTTATTTTTTGTGAGGTTGGAGTTAAATTCGCCTTGAACACTTGAAGAGAAGAGGCTTCCAATTAGCTTGATAGAAGCAGCTGTTTAACTTTAAAAATACCA